GATAGTCAATGAAGGTGAACCTCGAAGTAGACTGAGCTGCTGCCAGGGGAAATAAAATAATTTCAAGCTCTCGAAAATAGAATGGGTGCGAAACATTCGCAAAAACTAAGGTATCCAAATGTTTAAAGTAATTCTAGAAGTTGAAGACCTTGCAAGAAATCAAGGGATTATAAAGAATAAAGAAAATTCTTGATGCTTCAGTTATACATAGGCAAGAGACTTTGAAGCATGCGAGTAAGGATAAAGGAAAGCATCTTATTTAAAAATCCAGAGAGAACAGAATAAACCAGTGTTACAGTCAAACGTTTACATGAGTATTTATTCTAATAACCGAAGATCGAAGAAAGGGATCTTCTCACTAGTGAAACATCTTGTAAGTAAGATCTTGAAATCTTGGGATTGGTAGGTAAGATCTTATCAAGATCTTTAAAAGATAATTCGTTTGTTCAGATCTTGTCCTATCTGATAAATCTGTACCTAAGATCTTAGCAAGATCATGGCAACGATTTCTTTGACTATTATCTTCTCACAAGATCTTGAGTAAAACAGAAAGCGACATCATTAGTTTATTTAGATAGGCTATCTAGTCATTCACCCTTTTTTTATGCATACAGAACAGAATATAAGCAACATGATTGAACATGCAAAAACATAACTTTACAAATTAAGTTTTTTTCTAAACTATTTCTCGACTATTGATTAATCGAGAGGATGCTGATCTCGATCGATGGTCGAGAGAGGACTACCCTAAACTGGTCTGGCGAATATCGGACCAACTTAAAGCCGGTCAGATCTCAACATCTGATTTGCTTGAGCTATTCGGGACAGGAATAGTTAATATTAAAATATATTGAAAAAATACCAAACATACTTTCAGAATGCATCATTCAAGATGTTATGAATTCTTACTTAAGATCTGTAATAAGATCTTGGGTACAAGATAACTGTATTATCTTGTACCTAAATTTTCAAGATCTGTTCACTTATCTGTACCCAAGATCTTGGCCAAGATCTTACTTACAAGATGTTTCACTAGGGCTAATAGCAAGACCGACATCCGGAAAAATAATCTAGTATGTTTTCTATCAAGTGAATGATTTTCAAAATACTAATATATAGTGATCCGTATCATCCAAAAGGGCGTTTATTGCACATCTCCTTGACAGTATGTCAATGAAAATGACACTCATCGCTTGTTGTGTACTTTAATAGTTTGTTTCGTCAGAAGAGTGTGCTCCTCAATTTGACATCGTATAAAAGGACGTTCATTGCTTAATACGATCTAAATGTCTCTTGTCTAGTCGGATTAATGTGCTTCTTGACACAGGTGTAAGTAAAGTTAGCATCAGATTCGGGTATTTCCAGTCACGATTCGTTCAACAACTTGTGTTTGCGCAAAATTTTATTCTCTATCGAATGGTACTGTTCTCAAGCGAGTTATCGGTAGAGACCTGTAGTTGTACAAAAACTGGAATCAATAACCGAACCATAACCGTATTACTGGTGTCATCCCTAGTGTCATCTACATTGTATGTTTGTCTTATTGACATGGCAGAATAATGAATTTTTCTTCTTGGCTGTACTCACGAGGAAGGGCCACCAACTGTTCAAGCGTTTTTGCGTTGAAACTACTTTCTTTATGCAGTTCTCAAAGAGTTATGCATGCGCTGAAAAAAATTGACGGAATAGTTTATTGTTACGAAAATAGTCCTTTTGTATGGTATTTTTTTTATCATCACCGTGTTCTCCTCAGAAACATTAGAAAACTTAATTTTCGACTTGAAACTTTACGTAGAAATACGCCTTAACGAGAACAGCGTTTTTGGAAAGTTTTAGGTCTTTTCATTTGTTTGTTTCATCAAAGGTGCCTCTTTACTTGAAAGATGTAAAATAAAATTTCGCAATAGCTGTGTCGGATGATGGGGTCACTTGAAAGATCCGAAACGTTCACAAAAAGTTGCTCTTCTTAGGTTGTCTTTCTATGTAGAGTTTCAAATCGTCATTCAGAATTCAAAAATATTAGAAATCTAAGAGTTTCCGAGAAAATGTCTTGGAAACCCATTAAACATATTGGAAAACCGAACTAGTATTAGAATTTTTCATTTTTTTCATTTTCAAGTTGTCATTGTATAATTTACATTTTTAGGAGTTATTAGGCAGCTACAACAGAAATCGTCTTCAGTGTACACGAAATTGTTTTCTAAAACTTTTAGAATTGTTGAGATTCAAAAAAATTCTTCTTTGCCAAGAGAATCTTGTCTTATTTTTACATTCCTAGCTGTATACAGTTGTGAATATATTAAATGATGATTTTTGCTTTGAAACTTGGCGCACTGCACTAAATCGTCATTCCATTCAAGAAATATCATTTTTCTCCTATTTTATTGAATTAAGTTTTGTTCATTGTCGAAACATTACTATTTTTGAAAACATTGCAATGAAGCACGAAAAGTTCTTATGTTTAAAGACTCTTTTAACTAACTTACATAAAAGCTTTATAGTCAATCGTATGCTTGAAATAATGAGGAAGTATCCATTTCTAGTAGACTAAAACAAGCATTATTATTTTAGAAGCAAAAAACATTGTTCTTTGTGTTCCTGTTCTTTCTTCGTATGCTTATTTTGTATTTCGAATAAAAATAAAGGCAAATGCCTGTCTAATAAAGAGATGAGCTATTATGAATATGCGATCTAGTATTGTTTACTTCCACTGTTGTAAAATGGAGTGTGATCTGAAGATGAGGAGCTGCTAGTTGTCATATTGTTTGAAGTATTTAGTTTTATTAACTCAGATAATTCACATCGAGCTCCTAGGAAGAGTAAATTAACATGTATTTATGAAAAAAATTGGCGTATTTGGTTTTAATCCTTTTCATGTATATTCTTATGTAACAGGATAATTTATTCAATTTCTCCAAAATGTCTCTATGCTGTCATAAAGAAGTCAAAAATGCTTTTCTTTCGCCTGCAAATTAATCAATGAAATTCCAATAATTTATGACAATCTCTTATTTTCTCTTAATATATTTTCATTTATCAAAGAAGATTTATGTCTGTCAAATGTACCAAAACACAAATATGTTTTGAATTCGATTCGCGACAAGAAGAAATAAAGATAGTTCTTCAAGCGCTGATATTGCTATCCAAAATAAGATGCGTACACTCAGTGCATGAAAATTACTACCCTAGTCGAACATCTTGTAAGCAAGTTCTGGAAATCTTGGGATCGGTAAGTAAGATCTTACTAAGATCTTAAAAAGATAATTTGTATGTACATATCTTGGTTGTATCAGATAAATCTGTACTTAAGATCTTGACAAGATCATGGAAAAAATATCGTGTACTATTATCTTCTGATAAGATCTTGAGCGAAACAGAAAGCGACATCATTAGTGTATTTACATGCTCTCTAGTCATTCGCCGTTTTTTAAATGCATACACAACTGTATATAAACAGCATGATTGAACATACGAAACACAAATTTTCAAAACTTTTTTTTTCTTAACTATTTCTTGATTATTCGAGAGAATGCTGATCTCGATCAATGATCGAAAGAGGACTTCCATAATTGGTCCGACGGATATCGGACCAATTTATAGCCAGTCAGATCCCAACAGCTGACTTGCTAGAATTCAGGAGAGGAATAATTAAAATGAAAATAAATTGAAAAATATTAAAGAATGCAGCAGGTATTATTTTAGTGTGCATCCAAGATTTAATGGATTCTTATGTAAGATCTGTAATTAAATCTTGGGTACAAGATGTTTGTCAAGGGTAAGGATTGTGCTTTTATTATTATAGATGAATACTTTGATCCACTAATGTGGAATGTAGACGATGTTTCAGTTTGACTACATAAGTTTAATTCGAATAACGATACAGTTAATGATTTTAGAAGTAAGCTGCTTAAAATGCCCACCAAAATTATTCTATGATCAGATGATTACCATTTTTTACCTTGTTATTCCTTCATCTTCAATCCTTACTGTTAAAAAATGAATTTTTAATTAGCATCGTCTATTGAAACACATTTTTCAAATATTTTAGTACTCACACACTGCCATTGAATCTATTTTATGATTCAAGATGGCAGCTCAAAGATTACACATACATTACCAATTTTTATCTTATTTTTTATATTGAAAGAGAAACATTTCTAAATATGTCAAGTAGAGATTTTTATGTTCATTTTGTTTCGTAATATTTTTTTCCGACTTAGATTCATGAAGTGAATTATAATATGGCGAGTTTGTTTTGTTTAATTGTATATATTCTTTTTTCCATTTCGATTTATGAAATGAATTCTGACGAAGTACTATATTCTCAGATCTCGACTGATCGCAGAAGTTTGAATTAGGGAAACCTACAGAGTTTATGACTCTCTGAGATTTAAATATTTGATGATTTCAGACTTACGTTAGACTGATTTCAACACTGACTTCGGGAGTTTAAGACTCGAGGACTCTGGCTTTAGGAAGCACTCTGACTTTTATAGATAGCAAGAGTGTGATACTATAGGGTTCGAACAGGCATCGGAAGTCTTAATTGAAAGACAATGGCATTGACGGAGATGAAGACCGTCTGAGTAAGACTCAATTGAGGATTTTGAGCTTTTAGATTCATGGAGACTTTGTAACTACGATAGATTTGAAAACCCTTAGATGTCTGTTGTTAAAATACTATTCATAACGAAAAATGAATTTGGCAATGTCGGATACCTATGTGAATCCGTTGCTGGTTTGTAGCAGTGGAAAACGGTTAAAAGGTTCCAGAAAGAATCGGAAACCTTCAATAGGTTTTCGGGAACGTCAGCTTGCTTGATTGCTTGTGAGGGTTTCATATAGTGACAAACTCGGAAATCTCCTATTCGTTTCCCAGAAAACGGATTTTATTTAGAGTTATACCTTACCCATGGACTATTGCCGTAACAATAAGCTATCCGCCCATAATTTTTTCAGCGTATTCATAACTCTTTGAGAACTACATAGTGCAATTGGTTTCAACGTAAAAACGATGAACCGTCTGTAGCCCTTCCTCGTAAGTATATGTGGCGAACTACACTGGTCGCCTTTTCAAACTTTGTTATCCCAGAACTCCGTCGAGCAAAAACAATTTCAGAAAATAACTTTTCCATAATGCTTGAAATGGACTTACTCGCTCGTTGAACTTGTTCCCTTGCTCTCTGCCCAGTTTGCTCTCTTGCTCTTTGCTTAGCTTGCTCTGTTGCTTTCTGCTCAGCTTGCTCCCTTGCTCTCTGATCCGTTTGTTCCTTTACTCTTTGTTCAGCTTGCTGCCTTGCCTTCTGTTCAGCTTGCACCTCTGCTCGTAGCTTGACAGTGAGTTCGTTTGCTCTCTGAATTGCTTCTTTGTATTCATTGTCTCGCTTCTCTTGTTCTTTTCTTTGATTCGCTTGTTCTTTTCTTTGATTCTCGATGAGGACTTGCATTAACTCATTTTGATTTCGGATTTCGTCAAACTTCTTGTCGTACATTCTTTGTTGCTTTTTTATTTGGTTTTCGTGCATTTGAAGTTTGTTCTGAAAATCTGCCTGTAAAGCCTTGATTTCTTCTTTTGCTTTACGCACCTCTTCTCTTTGTAGTTCTAGGTCTTGCTTTTTTATGTGGTCGCGTGGTGTTCGTTCGACGATGGCTTGAAGTAGTTGGTTCTTCAATTTTTTTCTCTCACTTTGATTGTTCTCGTCGATCATGTCAAGAACACATAGACTCTGGCACGGCACCTGAATGAGTTCTTTTAATAAGACAATAACTTCGCCCTCGTAGGCTCCGAGTCGTTTTTTTGGTGCACCATTGACGATAAGTACAAGCGATTCGATTTTGAGTGGGTATGCTTTGTTGAGAGCGTTGAAGGCGACGACATCTTCGTCTCGAATCCGGCCATTCTGCGATCCAAATACATAGAGGATGAGTGAAGTTGGCCGCTCCACGAACGCTTTGTCTATTTCGCGCTTGTTTCTCTCGATGCACTGTTGATCCGCTTCAATGAGGCCTGGGATATTGAAAATCGCATAGTTTGCATTGCCCATCTTGATCTCTTCGAACTCAGTCTCAGTTGTTACCGACCGAGCAGCAGCACGATGATCAAACGCTTCGCTACCGAGCAAAATATTGGCTAGGAAGCTCTTGCCTACGCCCGAGTTGCCAAGAATGATAATGCCGTATCTTTGTCGTGAAGAAGACGATGCCATAGCTGAAAAAAGTTAAGAAATAGTGTCTAGACCGATAATTAGATACGGGCAGTGTTCGTTGTTCCGGTGCACGCACGACACAAAGTCTTAAATTGATGAATCAGTTTTCAGTTGAGACTCTATCAATCATGTAGGAGGCGACGAGCTATGAGTAATCTGAAAAGAGTTTGTAGTAGCCGCTTATTTAGGGATGTGCAGCATAGATGGAACCGGTATACCTGAACGGGCCGAACCGATCGGTTCTATCTATGATGTGCAGTGCCAGTGTAAATACTGAAAAACTTAGATTGCTATCACCGATATTTTGCTCAGTGTAGTATGGACTCCACTAGGAACAATGAAAAATCCAATCAGTGTTCACTGGAACATTGAGCCACTGCATCTGTCAAAATATGCATATTTCCAATTTTAATCGTAGTTTACAACAGATTATAGTGAAATGCGCAACCCTATCTTTGCCAAAGATATCATAAATGTGAACAATCTATAATTTTAAAACCTAGAATATCTTAGGTTAGGATTCGAGTATTTCGCATCACGACTCATTCACATAGGCTACCGATAGATGAAATTGATGGGCCAAGGTAGAACTCGACGAACTCTATTGGATGCATGTCTTATTAGTGCGTTTCTATGCTCTGATCACGGACAAAATTGCTAAAGCAACATATATCCCAGGTTTTATTGTAAGCTTATGCCTGGGTTCATAGAGAACCAAAAGACGAAATTCAGGAACCAAGAAAGTCTCGGCGACCTTTATCAAATGAATGTCTTTTAGCTCCAGCAATACTCTTGTGTGCAAGAAAATGCAAAAGGGTCCAAGGTTCCAGATTTTTGTTGCAATATTTCGGATCTCAGTTATAATTTCATTTTTTGTAAAGAGATATTATTAATGCGTCTATTAAACAAAATTCAATTCAATGCGTTACAAACTGTATGCGTAACATTCAGTTGCACAAACATTCAGATAATTGCTGATGTTAGTTTCCATTCTGGAAAATGCTGCAAGAAATATTGCTATCAGTGCTGATTTAATGAAACCAAAAACAAAGGGAAACCTTTCCTTTAAAGTCCTAACTGCCCGGAAGAGCAGATTGGACTACTGCCTCAATGCTTTTACATACGATTTTCCCTGTTACATTGTACAATCGATGGGTTTAATCGCTTCCCGAGTGATTGAATACGGTCACCAGTTATGGGCGGTATATGACCGTATTTTTATCGTGATTTGCCGTATTCATGCCGTAAATGCATTGTATGCGACAAATATGCGGCAGAAAAACGATCGCAAAACAGCGGCCTGGATTACGGGCCGTATTTGGAGCAAACATAACTCTGTTAAAAATGATTTACAGCTAAAATGCGAAAAAGTTTAGAAAACACTTGGGATTCTAGGCGTTCGTAGGCACTGTGCCGGTGACTAAGATATCGCATCGAATTGCTAAGGTTTGCATCTAATAGAGCTTGCCGAGATTTATCTTGATCTACCAATTTCATCTCGTCCCCCCCCCGCCCCCGAAGTCGAAGCATGGCAGGAAATACACAAATCCAAAACTAAGAAAACCTACATTAAGACATGGAAGATGAAAATAGAACAAAATATAATGTATGCTTTATAGTAGCAGCAAAGGAATCAGTTTTTAGCGTATGAAAAATACACTTTAAATATAATCAACTCTAAGTAAAGAATTGAGAAATTATCCGAAACATGTGGTCTTATCCAATGCAACCTTTCGCATTCATACTTTTCGTCCAGTGGATGTTTCAGTATTCCATATCACAACTTTAGTCAATCTGAAGTTGTTGGTGCGGTCAATGTTCCACACTTAAGTGTTCCACTGACCCTCAGTACTTCAGTCTTTTAAGTGGAGTCGGTGTCAGTGAAATCAGTGTTTGAGTGACACGATGATAGTGTAGTCGGTGCTCCGGTAACCACTGTATCGATGTACTCGGTTAATCAGTAAAGCGACGCTGCACATCCCTCAGCTTATTGATGTCGAAATGCCAATGTAAACAAATAGGGGGAAAATCACATTATAATCGATTACTATTTTGATTAAAAATCGATTATAATCATACGCCTTCAATCGATTATAATAATCGATAATCAATTTTAATCAATTAGTGTAGTGAATCAGCTGTTTCTTCGATTATAATCGATTAAAGGTGTATAATTATAATCGATTTTAATTACAAAAGAATCGGTTATAATCGATCAGGCAATTGGTTCCTACTACTATTGACAAGGTAACGCGCCGTTAGCGTCGCCAACCCTTTACTGAAAGGATTTAGTCATGTAGCACCTAGCTATCCAAAACTATCTAGCTGATAGACTTCACATTTTATAGCTTCGAAATGATTTTCATGGAGAAAACGATAGATAAACAAGCATAAATAGAAAACTTGCTTGGAAGTATCACCAAGAAAACGGTATTTAATAGGAGTGTCACATTTAAATTTAAATGAATTTATTAAATCGCCCATGGAAAAAGATTCAAAAAAAGAACGGATAAGAACGCGTTGTCCAGATAAAAGACTGAGTTGTGAAGACGCTTTTTTCGACCTTTTGAGACGCGTTTGTGTAATGAAAAACGCGTTCT